GCATATCTGCTGTAAAGCTGTTTTGCTTTCTTACTCCTGTGTTCACTGGAGTAGTACTTTTAGTTTCTTTTAAGAACTTTTTCTTCGCATTCACAATTTGGCTGTTTGGCACAAGAGGCCTAGCTTTTAGTTTGCCTCAGCTTTCAACATGCTGTCCTCAGGAAGCTTAATCATTTCTAACTTTTGTTGTAAAGTGAGAGACGTACAACTCTTCCTTTCACTTGAACACTTAGAGGTCATTTTATGGCCAGTAATTGGTTTTATTCCAGTGTTGTTGTTTCACGAAATAGGAAGGCCTGAGGAGAGAGAAAAGGAAACAGCAGATGTGTGGAGCAGTCAGAACATACACATGTATCCATTAAGTTCGCTATATTATATGGGCATAGTTCGTGGTGCCTCCAAAACAATAGTAACATCAAAGATCACTGATTGAGATCACTATAACACAAATAACAATTATGAAAAAGTTAAGAATATTGGGAGAATTACCAGAATGTGACAGTATACATGAAGTGAGCATACGCTGTTGTGAAAAATGGAGTTGATACACTTGCTAGGTGTGGGATTGCTACAAACCTTCGATTTGTAAAAAGTGCAATGTATATGAAGTATAGTACAATGAAGTACAATAAAACAGTGTGTGCCTATAGTATTATCTGACAGTGGATATTTACTATCTACAGAAACATCTGAATTGTACCATTTGATCTTTGCTTTAAATTAAGTTGGTATCTTAACCACTTAGGTCCAATTGCCTTCCTCTCTATACAAATCGGCCCTCTCTGTCTGTGGGTTCAGCATCTGTGGGTTCAACCAATTGTGAATCACAAATATATAGAAAAAAATAAAATGTATGGTTGCAACTGTACTGAACATGGTAGACTTTTTTTTCTTGTGATTATTCCCTAAACAATAGAGTATAACTATATAAAGTTTTTACATTGTATTAGGCATTATAAAATAATCTAGAGAAATTGTTTAAAGTATTGGGAAATGATTAAGTCATGAGGGCTTTGCACTTATGTATGGATTAGTGCCTTATAAAAGGCACTTAGGCACTAATGTATGGATTTGTGCCTTATAAAAAGGGCTGGAAGGAACCGGCTTAGATCCATTTTCCTCCCCAGTCTCATCCACCATGTGAAGAAGACTCAGTATTCTTCCCTCCGGAGAATGTGGCAACAGGGTGCCGTCTTGTAAGCAGAGAGCAACCCTCACCAGACACCAAACCTACTAATGCCTTCATCTTTACTTCTCCAGCATCCAGAACTGTAAGGCATACTTATTTATTTTAGAGACAGGGTCTTGCTATGTTGTCTTAGCTGGTCTCGAACACCTGGCCTCAAGCAATCCCTTTGTCTCAGCCTTTTGAGTAGCTGAGATTACAGGTACAAGCCACCATGCCCAGCATAAATTTCTGTTGTTTTTATAAATTTCTCAGCCTGTGGTATTTTGTTACAGCAGCACAAAAGGACTAAGTCACCAACTGTCTCTTATTTGGAAGAGAGAAATAATGCAGTTGTCGTCATCCTCACCTTAATCTTACAGCGCATCTTTAAAATTGTGTCCCTAGATCTTTAAACTGATGTAAATGCAAAGACTTAAGATGTTCTACTGACAGTTTCTCAGTTTCCATGGAGAATTCTTTGTATTAACCTTTTACTATATAATAAGGTAGGCTGACATTCACATGATTGTGTATGGGTAACCTCTTTGCATGTCTACAGTTGCAAATATAGAATTAAATTAAAATCATTGCCTAAGCGAATATATTTGTTTTATTAAGGTGAGTAGCTGTAGGCTGGGTAGGGTGGCTCACACTTGTAATCCCAACACTTTGGGATGCTGAGGCAGGAAGATTGCTAGAGCCCAGGAGTTCAAGACCACCAACCTGGGCAACATGGTGAAACCTCATCTACAAAAAATACAAAAATTAGCCAGGCATGGTTCCACATGCCTGTAGTTTCAACTACTCAAGTGACTGAGGCAGAAAGATCACTTGAACCCAGGAGGTTGAGGCTCCAATGAGCTGTGATCACACCATGGAAACTGGATGGCTTGTTTACTTATTAGAAGTAGACAATTGAAATAACTGGGTTGAGACTATGATATAGTTTGGACCTTTGTCCGCTCCAAATCTTGTGTTGAAATGTGATCCTGGTGGAGGTGTTTCAGTCATGGGATGGAACCCTCATGAATGGTTTGGTGCTGTCCCCATGGTAATGTGTGAGTTCTCACTCTATTAGTTCACACAAGAGCTGCTGTTTAAAAGAGCATGGCACCTCTCTTGCTCACACTCACCATGTGACATAAGTGCTGCCAGTTCAACTTCCCTGTGATTGAAAGCTTCCTGAGGCTCTAACCAGAAGCAGATGTTGGTGTCTTGTTTCTTTTACAATCTGTAGAACTGTGAGCTAAATAAACCTCTTTTCTTAATGAAGTACTCAGCTTCAGGCATTTCTTTATAGCAATATAAAACAGACTGTTACAGACTGGCTAGGGGAAACCTGGAATAGAGTGCAATTTCATAACTTACCAAAGGACATGTTCTGTTTTGTGCTGTTATAACAGAATATCACAGACTGGGTAATGTATAATGAACAGAAATTTATTGGCTCACAGTTCTGGAGTCTGGGAAGTCCAATATCAAGGCATGGCATCTTGTGAGGGCCTTCTTGCTGTGTCATCACATGGTGAAGGCAAGAGGGTAAGAGAGGACAAGAGTGGCTGAACTCACCCTTATAATACAAGTCCCCAGTGAGGGTGGAGCCCTCATGGTCTACTCACCTGTTAAAGGTCCCTTCCCTTAATATTGTTACAGTGGCAGCTAAATTGCAACATGAGTTCTGGAGGGGACTGTCAAACCATAGTAGGATACTTCTTAAAAGCCATGTAGCTAAGTCATATAAATTCCAAAATGTATCAATTTCTTCGTGTAGGTAAGTGACTAGTAATAGAAACTAAATTATTAGTATGTATTAGTGGGACATAGGGAAGATGTAAGTAATTACCATGGTGCCTGTGTACAGTTCTCCATTGTTTTGGGGCAAAGAATATCGAATGCTTTCTCATTCTCTTCCTCTTTTCCCACCGAATTGTAATTTGTCAGTCCCTTCCACCTCTTTTTGTTCTACATTTTTTGTTGATTGTTTAGAGCTGGTGAGCAGCAACTATATTTTTAAAAAATTGAGGCCAATTTGATAAAGAAGAAATGAGAATCTGAATTGAGTTTGCTATAATTTTAAGCTATTTATTAAATATAAAGAAATGATATTTAAAATTCTCAAGTACTGAAAATCTTACTGTATGTTTTAAGGAACAGTTTCCTAAGGTACCAGTCATTGAACTGGGGACACGTAGAGTCTCAAATATAATGTGTCATTTGTATGTATTTTCTTTCACCGATAATGTTTGGCATTTGAATTTGATTTTATTAACTTATAAATTTTTAGGCAGTATGTTAAACTGGTTCAATGCTTCGTACTAGTTCTTTTATACAACTTGCCATTACTGAGTTATTTTCTGTTGCAGAAAAGGCAGTCTCTTTCACCCCTGGATGACTCAAATCAGGAAATACAAGCAAAAGAAGATAATTCTTTCTGTGTATTTACTTCTCAGTCTTTCCCAATCTGGCTGAGGCACATAAAGAAGACTTGAGGAAATTCTTTACTTAGGACACAATCTTAAGCTGCTCAGGGTATTTAGAATTTTTGGAAATAAGTAGTCATGTACTTCTATAATTAAGTGCTAAGGAAAGCAAATTAGTGTATTATTAAATATTAGATCTTTAAAAAAGAATTAAAAACTAATTTGTAGAGTGAATTCATGTTCACACAATATACATTCATAAAATATTCAGTCTGACATTTCATGTTTAACACCAATAATCTGAGGTCTAAATGTTTAAAAAATAGATAATTTTAGTAATGCAAGCTGGAAAATATAAAAAATAAAGAACAGTATCATTCACAAGAATTTATTTTCAGGTAATGTTGCAGCTACACTGTTTATGATTTAGTGCATTCAGGATACAAAAGAAAAAAAAAACGCATGTATTTGTGTCCTTTTCTGCAGATAAATTGCCAATATTTCAAAAGTTTTTTTTTTTTTTTTTTTTTACTTCTCATTTTGTGACCCAGTCCAATCCTAAATTTATATGGATATAAATTAGGATGTGGATAATATCTTGTATGGAAATGGATTACGTGCAATTCTGTTCCAGAAAACCAAGGGACTATTTTCTGTAGTGTAGCTGAAATTAAACTTGAGAAATATTCCCTTGATATTATCTATCAGGCTGGGCAGGGTGGCTCTCGCCTGTAATCCCAACACTTTGGGAGGCTGAGGTGGGCAGATCACTTGAGGTCAGTAATTTGAGACCAGCCTGGCCAACATGGTGAAACTCCGTCTCTACTAAAACACAAAAATTAGCTGGGTGTGGTGGTGCATCCCTGTAATTCCAGCTCCTCGGGAGTCTGAGGCAGGAGAATTGCTTGAACCCGAGAGGCGGAGGTTGCAGCGAGCCTAGATCACTCTACTACAGCTGTTGACAAAGCGAGACTCCGTCTCAAAAATAAATAAATAAATAAATTAGACCAAAGTACTTGTTTTGAGCTACTAGCAGCAATAAAATTACATCTCATTTTTGACTCTGTGCAATGATAAATTGCTGTCATTGGCAGACTAGATATATGCAATTACCTGAAAACAAAGTACAAATTCATGTATCAAATGGTAAAATACTTAATAATGAAAATAAGCCATAAAGAAAAACATCAAATATTTTCTTTGCATTCTATAGAAAGCATACATTTACACTATTATTTGTATAAATACGTATTTATTTGAAGGCTAGTACAGAAAGCGTAATTGTTATGCATATTTTGGTTGAGTACCTCTCATTTCTACTCATATAAAGGTGAAATGGGAATAAATTTTACACTGCATATCTTACAGTTAGTTCCATTACTCCATCTTTCAAACAGAACAAATTGACCTTGTTTATGTGTTAAAAGCTTTTTATTTGTATTGAGAATAGATGGGTCAAACATTGTTTCTAACAAGAGATATGACCCAAATAGTAAAACAGAGCAGATGCAAAGGGATAAAATATTAGCATAGAATTCCTATTAAGACGTAATAAATAGATTGTGGTGGTGTGTAGTGTTTAGATGATAGAGATGAACTTCTAAAATGTTCTCAGTATCAGTAGCCACTACAGTGTGCAAAACCTATTATTGCAGCTCTTTAAACCTTTTATTATTGCAGTTCTTCAAGTGTTTTATTGTGTGCTCCCATGACATACAGGAGTGCTGGGAAACATTTGCACTCTCCCCCAACCCACAGCTCTTGCAAATATCTGTTTGATTATGTATCATGCAGTGTTTCATCTCAGACATGATTTGGCACTGTCAGACTCAATTATGTAAGCTTTCTTAATAGCTGATTTATTCAAAGCAAATGATTAATTTTCTTGAACATCAGTTTGGTTTTTGTTTTTGATTAGGTATAATTGTTCGTATATTTGTTGGCAACAACATAAGTTCAGATGAATTCTGTTTAGCAAGATTATGGTCAGAAAAATATTTGCCGGCAGAAGAAAATAGCTGTGAGCATTAATTTTATTCATTCAAATCCTATTAAACTACAGCATATTGCTGTTGTGTAGGCAATCTAATGTACGGACTGTGGAATATATTACTTTCCATATTTATTTTTCTTCATAGAACATCACCCTGTACCATTATTCCACAGAATGCACTGGGAAATGCTGTCATAGAAGATAGCTGGAAGACATTCATGGTAGTGCACATTTCTTGGAGCTGTGTCTAGTCTTGCTAAGAAGACAATTATTAGAAGATCATGGGACGCAGAAGAAATCTTAAGTCTCTCGCATTAGGTTAGGAAACTGCTGTTCATTCGTGTGGACTCTAGGTTCCTGGTGTTCCAGAACTCACTGAAAGTCTGTAAGATGTACATTTTTCTCGGAGATTCCATGGCTTTCATCTTGTTTTCAAAGTAGTATCTGAAGACAGAAAAAGAGGCTGGAGACAGAGAGTCTGTCATTTAGGACATAAATAGAAAATCATTCTTACATTAAAAGAAGGGGCACTATATTCAGCTGAACACGTGTCATGGTTGGTCTCTATTTTATAAAGTTCATTCCAGGCATATTGTGATCAACAGTGAAATCTGAGCAAGTCCACACAAATTCTAAGGACATTCTACAAATACTTTAAAAATGCTCATATGCAACAACAGAAAAGGAAAAGCTCCAAATGGAACATAGAAAATCATTCAGAAAAGTTTCTGGAAGGAGAGAAATTAAGACCAGAATGAGACCTTCTCATAGGCCTAATAGACTAAGGTGTCTCTCCATTTACTTAGAGGACCTGAAAGTTTGTATGTAAGTCTTAGAGTTGCATAATTTATTTTTGTTATAGAAAAGCAAGATGTATAAATTGCCCTTACAAAAAAGTAGATTCAATCATGCTAATTAATATTTTGTTAGTTCTCATAAAGTTCTAGTCAAAGGACCCATCCAGGTACGTTTTCACATAGCTGGCTGGACTGGATAGATATGTCATGACAGTTCCTAATGTGGGCAAGTAGCAATGACCCTTACAAATGCTCATTTAAAATAAGTTGTATTTAATTATTATTATTATTATTATTATTATTATTATTTTTGAGACAGGGTCTCTCTCTGTCGCCCAGCCTGGAGTGCAGTGGCGCGATACTGGCTCACTGCAGCCTCTACCTCCAGGTTTAAGTGATTCTTGTGCCTCAGTCTCCCAAGTAGCTGGGACTACAGGCATGTGCCACCACACCCGGCTAATTTTTGTGTTTTTAGTAGAGACAGGGTTTCGCCATGTTGGCCAGGCTAGTCACAAACTCCTGACCTCAGGTGATCTACCTGCCTTGGCCTCCCAAAGTGCTGGGATTACAGGCATGAGCCACCGCTCCTGGCCAAAAATGTTTTATTTCTGTCTGTGAATGTAACATGAGATGTGAGAATAGACTTCAGTTCTCATACAGTGCTCTACTTCCATTCTCATATCCTCATGACATTTTATTGTAATTGATTGCTTAAATCATCTTTTCTGTTAGAGTATTATCTGAGGACCAGCGCTGTTTTATCACACCTATCCCTACTCTAGTACAGAGAAGCTACTTGAGAGACAGTAACTGAAACCTTGTTTCTAGATGCCACTTTCTGATTCATCACCCCTGGAATTCTTTGTGTTTCTAGAGTATAGTGGTTTATATGTGTGGATTCAAGATTATCACGACAAGCATTAGTGAGGATTCTTTTTATTTAATGACTTGAAAGTATTTCACAAGGTATCATAAACCTATTTTAGCATAGATTTCCAGGTCAGTTGTTCATCAAAAATGGCTCCGAAAGATAAATGGAACATGAATTCTCTTTTTCTTGGAACTGGTTTTGAGAGGACCCTATCATCTCTAATTTGGAAATAACAGCATTTTAGAAAAATTATTTTTTTCCCTAGGATAATACAATTTGCTTAAAAAAACTGAACTTTAGATGATACAAAAATTTGGCTACCAAATGATTAAGGATAATCAATCTGCTGCAAGGTTTTTGGGTTGATCTCTATGATCATTCAGTAAGAGTGTATCCATGCTGTTCTATTCATAAATATACCTGAGTGCTGACCTTTACAGACAGCAATGAATAATGCATGATGTGTGTGTGTGTGTATATATATAATATATATACATATATACATATATAATATGTATATATCCACACACACATATATATAATGCTTCTAGGGAGTTTAAAAATAAAGAATAAAGAGAAGACTTAGTATCCTAGGAGACATTTGCTTTCCCTTTCTAGTTTTCTCTACTTTGTAAAATAGCTTCAGGATGAGAAAGTCATCTGAGGTCATGTACTTAGATTTACTTGAAAACATGAAAAAAAAAAATAGAAGCACAAACCTGTAAATCTCTTGGAGCAACAAGTGGGGAAGTACATATAAGTTGCTGTTAATATTTCCGTTAACGAACCAACCTAGTGAAATTAGGTTTAGAGAGCCATTGAAACTTAATATATTCGTTCATTCAATGAACATTTGTTTTGTGCTTATTATTGGTCAGTCATTTGATGCTGGGAATGCAATCCTGAGTGCAATAGTAGAAAATGGATAAATAAGGATACTAGGTGCTCTAATACCAGTATATGTTTTTACAGGGTATAGTGGGAACATAGAAGTGAGAAAAGTCTGCTCCACCTTAGGTAAAGATGGGAAGAGGAGGAAGGTAGGCAATAATTCACAGAGAACATGATCTTAGGGCTGAATCTTATAAAATAAAAGATAAACCTGAGAAAAGCCGTAGAACTGTAAAACAGCTCAGCATGTTTTGAAACCAGCAGATAGATAGGTATGACGGGTATGAAGACTGTACAAGGATGGAACAGAAGAAAACAATTCCTAGAGCTAGAAAGTAATTGGAAGTCAGGTGACAGGAGACCTTTGGGGCCTTTCTAAGGAGTTTGGATTTTATCCTGGAAGTAATGAGACATGAATTGACAGGACTTGTAATGTTAGGGATTGGGCTGCAAAAGGAAGGTGTCTGGAATGACTCTCGGCTTTATTTATGGTTTGAGTGGCTAGGTAGAGTGGTAGTCCCTGAAAAAAAGGATATATTTTGCATCTTTTGTGTGTTTACATCTTCACAACAGTTTTGTGAGGTAGTAAACATTATCATTTTATAAGGAAGAAAAGTGAAGACTTGTATAGGTTAAAGATTTTGTTTGATTTCTTGCAGCTAGTACTTGATGAAATCATATGGAACACAAGAGTTGTCTGATCCCAGGATCTGAGCTTGTAGCCACCGTTGTAGGCTTCCTCAAAGGCACTAGTAAACCACAGGATTTTCAAAAGTCGGAATTGACAAAGAGAAGAAGAAATATTATAACAAAGACTAAGGAAAAAAAACTGTTATATTTAAGGAGACATTAGTGCTAAGAAATTCTGCTAGAAACTAATCAGCACATATTTAATACCCACATATGCCATAATACAGATCTCTCTCACACACACACACACATACACACACATGCACGAACAAAAATAATTCAGTGTTAACTCAGTGATACACTTTTCTATTCATCCAATTATAATTTTCTCAAAATTCCATAATAAGGACACTTGTGGTAGCAGTTACATAATTAAACTACACATTTTCAAGGGTTTCATTTATGTATACAGCACTGGGTTAAAACTTCATAACATTTTTGAACCTATTAATTAGCTGGAAACTGGATTATTGTTTATTAACATTAACTCACTATCAATCAAAAACTGATGATGCGTCATTAGATTGCCATATTGTGTCAATTTTAGGAATTTATTTAGAATAAGTTTAGCAAGAACTTAGACTTTATTGGTTTATTAAATAAATCAATTTTGCTTCACAAGGCAATTTAGTGTCATATTGATGTTATTAGTATACATAATAATTTGGCAAACATGTAGTTTTTTGTTTTACTTTGAAAATTATGCATAGAAATAGATCTCTACAAATAAAGCTGATAGGGAAGAATTATGCAAAATAGCTGCAAGATTTTGTCGCATTTGTACACATTATAAAGGGTACAACTTGTATTTTCAGTAGTGATTTCCTATTAGTAACACTGGTCAGTGGTCATATTGAAAGAACTTGACTTTTTTTCTGTTGGTAGATTTTGCCTGTTTAATCATTTAAATCAAAATGGAACCTACAGGATGTGTCAGCCAAGTCACACCCAAAAAAATACCAATAAAAATTTGCAAACATATTGCCCAACCTTCCAAATAAACCTAAAGAAATAAAAATAAAATTAAGAATACTATTTTGAGTATATCAAACTGACAAAAAATAAATAGAAACATGATTATCATACTGAGTATGGCAAAGACTTCAAAAAAATTATTGTCCTATACCACCAATAGTATCAAACTTTATTGAGAGTAACTTAGAAAAAGATGTACAGAGTCTTTCATGCCCGTGGTCCTAATGATCCTACCTTTTGAAATTTATTTATGATGACATTATGAGGAAAATCTAGTTGACTGTTACATTTTTATAATTAAGATAACCGTCATAGGAAATAGGACAATATTATGAATAACTTTGTGCCAATAAAATGTAAAAATGTAAGTGATATAGACACATTTCTAGAAAAACAAACTTACAAAAATGGATACATAAATGAATAAATTATCAGAGTAGTCCTCTATTAAGTAGAAGCCATATGGGAAAAAAAAAAAAAATCTTCCCACAGCAAATACCCCAGGTCCAGATATCTTTACCAGTGAATTTTACTTTGCATCATTTGATTTCTACTAAGTGTACTGCAGGATGTGGAGGAAGGAAAAGATGAGTTCATGGCTTTAAATCCTAATCCACAACCTCAGTAGGGATCCAGGAAACTTCTGTAATTGTCCTGGAAAACACAGACACACACAGAAATATCTCCTGTAGCTGCAGGGTTAAAATTTCTGAAAACCAAGCTTCAAGTCTGATCCTGTGGGCAGCTGAACTTACAAATGCAACAATGTGGGTGCATCTCAAAAACATGATGGAGAGCAAAACTGCCAGACACAAAAAGGATATACGGTCTAATTGCATTTCTGAAAAGATGAAAAAATAAAACCAACAAACCTTACAAGTTTTGATGGCATATTACAAACAAACAAACAAACAGCAAAGGGATTACCATAAATGTTAGGAGAGGAATTATCAAAATGGAGAAGGGAATAATAATTGGGAGAGGACCAGAGGGGACCATCTCTGTGCTGGCCGTACTCTCTTCCTTGGCTTGACTAAGGTAACAAGGGTGATTGCCTTGTGATAGTTTTTTGAGCTATGCACTTATGTTCTGTGGAACTATCTATATATATATATGTATTATTTCTCAAAACCAAAAGGATTAAAAGGAACCCTGAAGGGTTTGCTATCTAACTGGGAAACAAAAGACAAGATCCTTAAATGACTGACAAGTCTCTAAATAATCTGGCCTCCTACTAATGGTTTGATGTCTCAATTTTTCTTCCTCTCTCTCCCTCTGCTCCTGAATCTACACATATAGAGTTGAACATGATCAGAGAAAACCCAACACTCATGCTGTCTGGTATCACTTGAGATTCATAACTACCAAACCTAAGAGGGAGCTTTAAAGCTGCAGTATTTTTTTCCTAGTCCATTCACTTGTCACTCACCAAGGTGACAATTTCATAACTCCTGTACAACCTTCAAGCCCTCCATTCCCTGATTTCACTGCCCCTCCTCACTCCACAGTAGCAGTTTTGCTTCCTCTTTGTACTGAGAAAATGGAAACAATTCCACTGGGTGGACACAAAGCTGTATCATCCACATCCCTTTTCACAAAAACAGCCTTATACCGTAGCTGCCGGGATCAGCAGATGTCTTCCAGCATTCAGCAACTATAAAGTCCATCTCACTTTTGGAGATCCCAGAATGCACCCTTCTAGGGGAAGCTCAAATCCAGTGTCCATTTCCAGGAGTGGTTGAGGGCAGCATAAAGGCTGGAGGAACAGATCCAGAGCTATCTTTGTGTTGGTTAAGTTTTGCCAGGCATGTACTGTAGTTTGAATTTCTCCTCCATCCATTTGTTTCCTCTCTCTCCCTTCCCTAAGTGTTGATCCCTAACACATATTCAGTATTCCAAACTCCATCTCAGTATTTGCTTCCAGTGAATCCAACCTGTGATACCTCAAACACATTCAGATTTCCATCACCATGTTCACCTACTAACTTGCTTTTTTCCTCAATATCCTATGACTGCCTTCTTTACAGAGTGTTTTTACTTAAAGCTAATCACTTCATTTGTGCACTGCCTTTGCTTACTGAGAGAGAGAACTCTAGCAATTCTTTCTCCCCTCGCCATTTTTTCCTTTTTGTAAAATTGCTATTATCTCTCCTTTATTATTATTTTTTTAATCTTTGCCTTGGTCCATTTCACCGGCTACTGAGCTGTTCTGCTTTCTTTTGCAAAATTATTAATAATCTCAGACTCCCAATTCCTCTTCTCTCATTTCCTCTGTAGCTTATTCTAATCAGGCTTCCCCCTCCATTAGTGGAAACTGCCCTTTTCAAAGTCATCAATGGCTTTTACAATGCAAACTATGATGGTCTGATCTCAGTCTTCATCATACTTAACTGCGTGATTGATAAAATTTTCTGCTCCTTAAAATGTTTCCCACTTGGCTTCCAGGACACCAAACTCTTACTTTTTTCTCCTCCTAGTTCACGGCTCACTCTCAGATGAGCCACCTAGTGCACAATTCCAAGAAATGCCGTTTACCTAGAGCAAAACACCAGCAGGGGCTCTACTTCTCGGTCCTCTTTTCTAATTGTTCTCTTTTCCCTGTCTCTTAAGGTAAGAGGGTCACATTTATGTTTTCTATGTACACATTTCTCTTCCAGACACTCAGACTCAGAAATGCACAAACCCCCTGACATCTTTATTTAAATGACTAATAGATACATTAATGTGTCCAAAATGAATTCTAAATTCATCCCAAACTTGCACCACTGGACATTTCTGCTCCCTCAGTTTATGACAACTCCATCCTTCCAGTTGCTCAAGCTCGTTCTATTTCATTTTATTTTGTGTTTCAAAACAAAACAAAATAGAAGAACAATAAGGATTGTATATTACTTTTACTTTATGCTCAGAGATGGGGAGGGAATAATGGTGGTTAAAGAATTAACCTACTTTCCAATTCTCTAGGGATAGCACTCTGAATTTAAATATTTCAAATGGGTTGACAACCGTCAAAGACATTTTCCCACTACTTCCTCCCTCTCCTCTGGTATTCAATTCCTTTCTAATTTGACTCATATTCACCTATTTCTTTAACACCAAATCAGTCTTTCAGCTTTATATCTAGAAGTATATATTCAACACTTGTCACTTGTGAAAAAAACAAAAGGTAGTTATGCAATAGATGAAGTTATGTCCAGAAATCTACCAAAAAGAGATTTTTTTGCCAGATATAAATTAATAAGGAGTTTTCTGAGGAAATTTCAAAAAGGAATTTTTGGAGTTTACCTTTTTAAAAATGTTTCCGGTGTTTAATATGTGACGAGGAATACAATTTCTGGTTATTATAGAGGGAGAAACAAAACTCAAGCAGCTCTATCCGTTTTTATGTAGGCCTTTAGTCCATTTTTTAAACTATAAATAAATCCCTAGAGATTATGGTTTCAGGTTCCTAAGACTAAATATGTAAATAACTACGCTACAAAGTGCTAGAGCTCATCAATTGTGAGTTACAAAAATCCATAGTAGAGTTTAACTTGATGGAAACAAAAATAGGAAAACCAAAAACAAAACGGAAAGATTAAAATCTTGTCTCTAGTTCCTTTCCTCTTTCAGTGGAAATGTATTAAAGCAAATAAACATCACTTGTGCTTGACCTTAGATTTCCAGAGCAGTAACAGAATATACAAAATTCATGTACAAGTTAACTTTCAAAATTAAGATGATGATACAGTAGTTCCCCCTGAGCCTTGGGGGATGTGTCCCAAGACCCCAGTGGATGCCCGAAATCACAAATAGTAGCCAACCCCATATATATACACCATGATTTTTCCTATACTTACATACCTATGATAAAGTTTAATTTAGGAAATAGGCACAGTAAGAGATTAACAACAATAAAAATAAAATAGGACAATTATAACAACATTTTGTAGTAAGAGTAATGTGAATGTGTTCTCTGTCTCTCTCTCAAAATACCTGATTTTACCTCAACTATTTTCAGACCATGGTTGACTGAAGGTAACTGAAACCATGAAAAGTGAAACCGCAGAATTGGGGAGAGTACCGTATCCGCAAATGATGCTATGGCTGGTGATGCTAACAGCAAGGCTACCAGCCTAGTCAGGCATTCTTATCCATAGAAGAGTTGCCATGGGAACCTCATGGCAACCCACAGATTTCAAGTACTGTATGTTCTGCCTAAATAAATAATGAAAAGCTATCTTCTTATTTAATGTTCTCCATATCTACATACTTAATAGGGCAGGATACTACCTCTAAACAAAGGTAAAAATGAGAGACATACAAAAATAATATAAAGATTACATCTCTGCATTTTAAAAGCACATTGCATGTTAAGTAATTATGTTTTCATTTCATTCTGGATCAGAAGATCAGATACACATCACTGCTTATTCAGACCTCACCTGATCCTATTTATAGGCCCCTCTCAAACTCACTGAAGATGGGAGTAATCTCTATATCTATGCAGAGTGTGAGGTAATTCTGGGAGACACCTTTCTGTGCAAAATGTCAGGTGTTAGCTCCCCATGGAGGAACTCTGTCCTTGACACTTGATGACCTCACAGAAACAAGTGATAGCATTCTTTTCTTAGGCTGTGAGGTAGGGTTAGATGATCCTCACTTTTCTGTTACCACTTGTGTTCTTTCTGTATGTGCTTTTTAAATTCACTAAATAATAGAAAAATGCTTTGAATACATTATCAACCTCACAATAAGAGGATTTTTTTTCTTCCTAAACATATTGAAATATTTTAGACACTAGAAAATAAAGGATTTTAATGAATGGAGTGTAACTATTTAACACTTTTTCCTTCTTTCCCCAAAGTGAATAAATAACAATTGTAGGCTATGTAGGAAACTCAGACTAGCGTAGGCAGATAATATTAGTTTTTTAATCACGAAATTATTTTAAGTGCATTTGAGAGAATTTACGATATAAATTCTCTTAATTTTATATTTGATAAGAAATATAAAGATAGAAGCTAATGAACAGGGAGAAGAACTAAGTATTCTTGAGTTGTTTGTGAAAGTAATAATTTAATCTAAGTTATATTCACTTAGCCGCTGCAAGATTAAGTTTCTATGTGGAAAAAAAAAGGTGAAAAGGAGAGCACCAAAACCTTACGTGACTGGAGTTGATTTAATGGAATGTTTCTGCTCCTCACTGAAATGCCTCAGAATGTGGTAAGTACAGTCAGAAAGTTTTTAATATTTACTGTCAACATACAGTAAAGATTTAGGAAGAGAAAGGAGGGAATAGGGAACTCTGTCTTCCTAAGCCTAATTTCATTAAGGAACTTAACAAAGGGAAAAGACGCTAAGCTATTTTCTTGTAAGAAACTCACCTGAAAAGGGATCCAAATATGAACAAGAACAATCACTTAGCACTGACTTCTTAAGAAGATATGTTTTCCTCTGGCACATAATGCCTGGCACATAGTAGGCCCCAGGGAATATTCACTGAATGAGGGAATGCATGATAGAATACATTAGAGAGTGTATTTTTGCCTGCATTACTTTAATTGAATACATTTTAAGAATAATATGTTACTCTTTGAAATTCCATATTCTTCTTTCTATTAATTTTATAAAGCATAATGAAAGAAAATACCAATGAAACTCCTTTTATTTTAATTATTTTAATTGTAAAAATTTCTTGATTTATCAACTAATATGGAGGAAATTTTTGACCAAGTGAAAAAACAGGTTAGTGTAAATCTTAGCAATTATTACCTTAATCTATAACTGATTTCTCTTATTGAATTCAGTGCTCAACATTTGAACATTATTTTCTTTTCGAAATTGAAGTTGGGGAGTAAGAGATGTTCTCCAGGTGTCAACTGTTGTCTTAGGAGGCTTCAAAAGAAACATGAGCAAGCTATTGGCTAATGGGTTTGAATTAATGGTTATTGGAAAGTTAAAAATGTACTATATGCCATCATCTAGGTATCTACAGCCATTTCTCTGTTCTTTCTCCATGTCCTTGTCCCTCATTCGTCTAAAATCCTTCCCTGCCTATAAGCAATTACAGTGAAAAATGCTGGAGTAGAATGACATAAGATCTTTAAGGTCAAGGGCCAGGTGATTTCAGATACTATGACTTTTCAGAAAGCCCAAAGAAGTTATTTCCTTACTTACATCACTATTGATGTATGCAAATTATGATGCATGCAGGAAGAAAAAAAATGTTCTTAATTTCCACACTCAGGCAAGCTAAACACTTTGAAATATACTTGACAATGTTCTGCAGTATTGGAAGTAGTATCTACTTCTGATGTTTCAATTCCTGTATGTCAAACATTATCAAAGAGGGCAATATCGCCCCCAAGGGGATGAAACTTCATTATTGGAAGGTGGAAAATTCTTATCTCTTTAATGTACAATATTAAGCACAGACATACATACAGTAATTACAGATACAGCATATCTGGGGTATTATAATTTCATAGTGGGGGATTAGGGAAAAAATGTCTAAAAAGGCTCCTTGGCAAGCAGGGTGGAGGGGATAACCAAAAAAGCTTAAGAAACACTATTGTACATTGTGCTTTCCATTTATTAAAAAAATCTTATTCCCCCCCAGGTTCAGGCTAATGGAACAAATGATAGAGAACTAATAGTTCTATGGGAACCATTTTTTTAAATAGTCGAGCAATGTAGGACTCTCAGGTAAAAGCTTCTTTACAGACTGTGCTTAGATCTGGGACTGAAGTGAGGTCCTTATTGTTTGAATTGTAGTCAAGTCATTGCTACAAGCCAATCTAAACCTGAAACAGAAAGAGAGAAAGCTCTGTCCTGGAGAGAAAATTGCATAGCGAGAACATAGTGTACCTGGACACAGAGTGAAAGAGCAGGCTGAAGGAGGCTGCTGCATCTGAGCACAGGCTGGTCTCAGCAAGTACACGCAGAGACCTGCTTTGGGGCCCAGTGATTCCCCTCTACTAGCGAAATGACATAGTAAGTATCAAGAGTCTCAAAGGGCTGGACGTAGTGGCTCATGCCTGTAATCCCAACCCTTTGGGAGGTCAAGGCGGGCGGATCACTTGAAGTTCAGAGCTTAAGACCAGCCCGATGAGCAAGGTGAAACCCCAACTCTACTAAAACTAGAAAAATTAGCCGGGTGTGGTGGCGGGTGCCGGTAATCCCAGCTACTCGGCAGACTAAGGCAGGAGAATCACTTGAACCCAGGAGGCAGAGGTTGCAGTTAGCCGAGATTGCACCACTGCACTCCAGCCTGGCGGACAGAGCGAGACTCCATCTCAAAAGAAAAAAAAAAAAAGGAAAACCTCAAATTAACTACTTTTTCTAAGAACGGTAGGTGCGGAGAAACAACGCTGAAATGTATCATTTTTTGAAAATATGAGAAAAGAATGGAGGATTCTCTCAAATGTGTGGTACTACAAATTGAAATGAATTTTGTCAACTCCTTTTGCCTAATTCGCCACCGATAAATAGATCTTTATTTTAGATTTCTATGTATAAGTTAATATTCATCTAACACTCAGGTGTTTTTTTTTTTTTCTATGTTGTTCTGTAAATACCTCAGAAAACATAAGATTAACTCTTGATTGTTTTTCTCAATTATTTATTAATTAAAAGAATTCTTTTTCCATTTTTAGGCTGAAATCTTATTGGATAATTCTGTATTAGTATAAGAAACAAGTGAGCAGAGAAAAATACAGGAATGAAAAGAAAAAAATGAATGACTAGTTACTATTCATGTTATTTCTTTTTCATTACTACAGAAAACAGAAACGCTAGACTAGTGTTGTCCAGTGAAATACCCTGCTGTGATGGACAGGAAATATATAGGCACTTTCTAATATGAAAGTGCTACCTATTTGGAATTACGTTCTTGAAGTGCAGCAGTGGGACTGAAGGACTGAAGTATTAAATTTAAATTTTAATTAAATTTAGCATATAGTCACTTGGGGCTAGTGCCTTACCATATTGGTCAGTGCAACACTTAGATTCTGAGGATGTTTGGCATACTTTAATTTACAAAATCAAATTCTGTAGTTTGCAATAATGTAATAAGAAAACTGGCAAACCATTGCGAGTTTTACTCACTACACATATTTGGGCTCCTAGGTTAATATTATGTCTTTGTTTGCGAAAACTGTCAATAGTGGTCTCCTGGTTCAAATCTAAATATGGAGGCCTCCCACAGGTGTGGTTATGAAAATGCATTGATCAATTGCGTGTTTCTTACACAAAAAACTAAAGTCCCTTAAATGAGTAGACTAATATTAAAGAATATTAGTATTGATATGTTTAAATGAAATATGCAACTTAGAACAAAATGTTTAGAGGTAAACATTTCAAGATATAATTGGCACCTTGCTCATAATTTTCCTTATTCTCAATCATAACTTAAGCCTAATTCTCAACAGAAGTTGAATTAGAGCTTGCATTCTGTGACAAAACCTAGCAGACAATTATTGAACACTGCAAAAATAAACATGTTTTCCACATCTACTAAAAGATTTAAGACAGATACAAGCCAGACAAGTCCAAATATTTTACTTATAAAATGCAATATATTTGTTTAGCCAAAAGGAAATATATCTTATTTGAGTTAAATAAGTATTTTATTTTGTAGGAATGAAATTTTGCTTATAACATAATGAAAATGTAATGCACTCTGTTTATGATCTTAAAATTATTTCCAACAGATTTTTATAGCAATAATAATATTAGACTATCTTAAAGTCTAGAGACAACATGAGAGAGGATATTCATATTAATTGGTTAAATATTAAATAGATGACACATTTTTAGTTAAGGGTCACAGATAATAACTTCAAAAGTGACAAGTTTCAGCTTGTGATTATTCTCTTTGTTGCCTCCAATTTTTACTTTAGGAGCTATTTACAGGTAGCATTTATTAAGCATTTTAAACTATGCACCAGGCACTGTGTTAAGTGGTAATCGGATAGATGTTATCTTACTTAATGTTTATAATAATGCTATTATATCACAGCTGTTATTATCTGAATTACATCATGAAGTAAACTGCAGTTCACAGTGATTAACTTACCAGGGCTCACACAGCCAGCAAATTGCAGAGCTGAGATTTGCATCAGGCTCTGCCTCAGTCCAGAGCCCATGGCTCACATCTTAACCTCTACACCAACTGCCTCTTAAGAATTTTCCAGTATATATCAATACACACCAGGAACAATAATAGAGACTTCAAACTAATGATTAAAGAGTAGGGAGCTGCTGATGCCTTGGTATACGCTGCAAGAATAACACTTTTAATGAAAGATGAAGAAAGATTTTTGCTGAATCTAATAAAGAAAATGTCAACAACTGGTTTTGTTTTGGTTAGGTTTTCTGAAACATAGTTTCCCAATGCACAAAAAAGCACTGAGCAAATTGTTGAGTTATGGATATAATTAAGTTAGGTTTCCCTTATGCACAAATAATAGCTTTTCTAATCATTTATACTAAAAATCACCACAAATTTCACAAGATCTAAGTGATCAACATTGAAAGTGGAAAGATTGCTCTGCCAGGATTCTTATGGAACCTCTTGCTTTGCTGTTATTCAGAAAACAAAGCGTATCACTTTTATTGCATTGTAAATTGTTCCTTAGTGATCCTTCTTTCTGACTGGCTAATTAGCGAATTCAGAGTCTGGGATGGGTGAG